AAATAATAGTTGAATCTGTGTGAAAAATTGTGGTTCCACTCTTGTTTTGTATTGGTCGCTCCTATGACAAACTAACACAAGATGTAAACTTTCCTGATCCTAGTCATGGCAAATTTTACAAATAATAACAACAAGGACAGACTCATAAATGACCCCACGATGGGTTTTCAAGCTGTATAAATCACCCAAGGGTATGCTGCTCATCTTTCTACCACAAAGTAGTGACTGCTAGATGCAAACCACCAGAGAAGTGTGGCCTTGGAGTTAGCAGCTGTAAAACATGCAAGGGTAACCTGGGGAAGGCTAAATCTGACTTAAAACTCCACAAAGGGAAATTGTCCCCATCAATAATATCCATGGTACAAAATAAATAGCTACAAGGTCATACATGACCTCCCCATACTCCTGCACCTAATTCTACTAATCACTGAGTCCAATGCGCATTGCAAATGGACTTATGTACTTGACTTTGCTCACAGTTTTGGGGTTGGGGAGGCAAAGGATAGCAAACAGTGAAAGTACAAGTTTTAGTAAACAGCAAGACACAATACCTTAATTAGTTTAGACAGCTTCTCAATCAACAAGCAAAAGTCCTAATTCAGCCCAGCAACACAAATGTAGGAAACCTCTCTTTTCCTCAATTGTCCAGCAAGCTTTGTTTCATAGCAGTTGCAAGTCAGGTCTTCCTTTAATCATCCCACAAGCAAAACCTTTTAAGTCTGGCTCTGTCTCCAAGGCTCTGTCAGGCAGCATGCAGTCTTCCTATGGTCAGATAGCCCTCCCCTCTTATATTGACTTCACAGCTGTTGATGTTAAATTTACTGAACAGTGATGAACCATGTATCTGCAGTTGAGGCAGCTGAAGACTATGCCCCCAGAAGGAGCTAAGGCAATGGGGGGAAAAGCCATTTTCAAAAGCCCTAAGACCACAACAGCACATGAACTACCCCACCAAAACTCCTGTTACAAGACCTTTAAGGTGGCTATGAATAGTAATGTATGGACTAGTCCTGGGGAGATAGGTTCTATAAAGTTGTTTTATACCATAGAGTCAGAACCAACCCTTATCTGATGCTCTAGTGGGTTTTCAGAGGCAGTTAATCACATGGGAGGAGATTGTCATCCTTCTTCTGGGAAGTTTTATAATAGACTAAAAGTAAAAGGATTCACACTGCTTGACTTCCATCTATAGTAATAAAAATAGCCTAGTGTTAGTACAACATTAGTCACATCTCCAGTGGAATAGAATTAAGAGTTCAGAATAATCAAAACAACTATGAGATATCATCTCACCCCAGTCAGAATAGCAAAATTTTACAGAACAGCAAGCAACAAATGCTGGCAAGGTTGTGGAGAAACTGGATCACTTATTCACTATTGGTGGAAGTGTAAAATGGTGCAACCACGGTGGGAGGCAGTATGGCGCTTTCTCAAAAAGTTGCAAATAGGGGAGCTCTGGTGGCCTAGTGGCAAGAAGCTGTACTGCAATCCCAAAGGTACACAGATGCTCTGCGGGAGAAGGAGGGACAATTTCCTCCTATACCAGTCAGATCTGATTTGACGGTACATGCACAAAAAATAACAAAATTTTTAAAAAGGGGAAAAAAAGTTGCAAATAGAGATACCATTTGACCCAGCAATTCCACTACTGGGAATATATCCAAAGAGACTATAACTGACACCCAAGCAGATAGATGAACACCCATGTTTATCGTGGCTTTGTTCACAATAGCAAGGAGTTGGAAACAACTTAAGTGCCCATCAACAAACAAATGGATAGAGAAGCTGTGGTGTAATCACACTATGGAATACTACACTGCACTGAAAAACAAGGAACTCCAACAATGAATGAGTGGAAATCCAAAGCCTCTGTAAATTTTCACTGAAATTAATAACAAATTTAAATTTAAAAAAAAAGAATTAAGTTAGAGTAAGGATGGCAATGGAACCACCTTACCTCTGTAACTTGATTTGTGCCACTATTAGAA